ACTAATGCTTCTAAAAGGTTCCGTATATTATGGAAATCAAGATACACATAACAACGCAGATACACACACACACACACATAGATATATATATCCATATCCTCAACGATGACTAGAAATACAAGTTGGCATTCAACAACATTTTCTGTGTATGCGTTCAATTTTCATCAGAAATAAATTCGCTTGTGTCTATGCGAAGTGGATAGTGTTCAGCGTCAGTCATATGTGCTGTATATTCCATCATAATAGAAAATCACTGTATAATGCAATATATTGCGCACAGCGACCTGAAAGAAAGCTTTTAACCTTTGCACAAATTCTGCATTGGGCAAGCATTTGAAATTGAAAATACCGAATCAATGTTGAAACTTTGTTTTTGAAACTCTTCAAGCCACTTGATCAAAACTGTTTACTCGAAGTACTTTTATGATCAATTTATCAGATTTGTAGCTGCTTGCCGAAAATAAAATAAAATAAAATGAACAATAAAAAAAAACGACGCACAAATGAAACATGAAATAACGAAGACATTATTACTTTTTTATTTAAATATTGTATGGTAGAATGTCCCTTCGGAATTTTCATTTAAAAACTTTTATTTATTTGTCGATGTAAACAAGTTTTACATTCACATAAAACGACTGTAGGACCTTATCTATCATTCATTTCATTATTTCACTATATGTTATTTCTTTTTTTTAAATTAAATAATGAATTATAGCTAATGTAATTTGAATTATAATAACTTCTCTGAAACATTTGTATATGATATTAGGTCAGTAGTGTGAATATGGAAATAGCATGTTAAGGCTGACGTATTGTAAATGTACTTATTTTAATTTGATAATGTTTCTGTGCGGTACAATATACAAATATGACTAAAATGTAGTCAGTGTCTCAATTAGTTTTATATATTTACATGCATGTATTTTGATTCATGTTGACAGCCAGAGCTATCTATATTTTCTAACATCAGTTATCATATATGGATTCCATTCACGAAACATACATAACATATGTAACTAAGTAAAACAAACCGGATCAAATCATTTTTGGTTTGAATATTTGTTTTCAAAGTTTTTCTAAATGAAAATAGACACAATGCTCTGACATTCAAAGAACCATGTCAATTTTTCATAGAACGAGTGAGCCAGCAGTTTTTGACTGTGAGTTTGTCTAACCCTACATTTGTCATAACTGAGCAGAGTGCGTTTAACTCTCAAACGGCACATTTGCATCGCATGCATGATCGTAAAAAAGAATTAAATAAATTGAAATGGAAATATTAAAAACGATGATAATACAAAAAAAGTATTGATTATTCGAAATAATTGGAATAATAAAAAAAAAATAATTTTTATATTTATATCATTTGATTTTTCGGGTGAATCCTTCTATCGTGAATTAAACGTACTTTGTTTTGTTATGATAGCCGCAGGGTTTGACAAATTTGCAAGCAATGACAGCTGGCTCACTTTTTGGCATTGTTCTTTGAAATTTGATGATGTCGAAATTTATAATATCCTTGATTGCACCTGGATTGCACCTGGATGTGGCGAATAAATTAGTTAGATGCAAAAATGTGATGCCAACACTATAAATTGATTTCTTTGACTTACTTTTTTAAAATTTAAGAAAGAATCATGTGTGCCTATTTTACGTGTGGATTAATTTTCGTAATATCCAAATGGGCACAAATTCAAAAATTACGGGAGACCGTATACTTCTCGTTTTATTGGTGGATATATTATATATCATATATGTGTGTGTACTTGGTTTATTTTCTTTTTTCTTTTGTCGTTGGCCATTACATTCTTTTTTCTTTTGCATTCTCTTGGGGGTATCAAGCACCCAGTACACAGTGTGTACTACACACTCATTCGCATAGAGTTTGTATAACATGGAATCAATAGAATGATTCGTACGATGACGGTGAAATGCACTTGCTTAGATGAGTCTTGTTTCGAGATGATTGAGTCGGGGAGACGCAACGAATGCGGAAGTAGATCTATGTTGCTTTCACTTATTCTTACGTTTATGTTAAAAGAAAAATATGTGTGTTTTTCTGTGAGTTTTGACTTGCGAATTAGTTATACATGAAACAGCTTTTAAGAAAATGTTCGAAAATTACTTGTGTCTCACGCTTGCCATCTCCATTTTTTCTCGTTCTCTCGGCCAATTTGCAGAAATGGTACATGATGCGATCAGTAGTGCTGGAGATGTGATGCGCTCATCGACCAGCACATACGTGTGGCAGTTTCCGATGCTATTATATTTGAATTTTATTTTCTCTTTTATTTCTGTTCGCAATCGCAATTCTACCAAATTTTTTTATTCCATCCTTTGGACATACATTTTATGTATTTGTGCTGCAGAACGTCTTTGGGCTTGATTTCAATTTTGTCTATGAAGTCGAGCCATTCGCCTTCAATTTGCATAGCAAACATCGGGGGGAAATGATCTAGTTGAGATTGGACAAAGATTATCGAAGCTGTAAAGTAGATGGTTACTTCAATAAAAAGTCGCAACAATTCGCAAACAGTTCACTTGTTCTGAATTCTCGAATTTTTTCAGACATCGCAACGTTTTAATCGAGATCCGATCCCCTAGGCAAACATTGCTATGAGTTTGTACATTTTCTCATTCGCTATTCATTCTTTTTTTTTGTTTTCACTTACCTGCGATGCACTGATCAGAACCGTACTTTTCACATCCAACCGATTACAAATACTCAACATTTATAAATATAATGTGTTTTATATTGCCTCGTTCTGTGGCGAATTTTCATATGTTTTATTCGAAAATAGGTCACACATTATGAATAGGGTAAATGCTTGCATCGTTTACTATCCAAATGCTCGTGAGTTGTTTGTTACATGTGGAACAAGTTCTATCTACTCTTGTGAATGCATTTTCAACTTGAAAACTCTCACAATTTAAATGAGCAAGTACTTTTTGAATGACAAGAGGCTCAAGTCTTCTTTTTGAATTAGTCGAATTTGTTGGATTCGGAAACATGTATGTTCCGTCGCACATTGGCCGCAAAAATCGGCCATAATAAATAATAATAATAATAATAATAAAACACTATTCTCTTCTTTGTCAGATGGAAGAATCAGACTTTGACGAATTTTGAAGAACAAACGAATCATGGCATAAAAAATGGTCTCGAGACGCAATGGTCAATTAATCATAAACCACATTTTATATTAAATTAGAATTGTTATAGTTGTTATGGTTTTTGAATATTTCGGAAGAACCGGTTGCTTTGTTCTTCAAAAAAACATACTTTTTACCACTGAAAAAAGAACTTGTATTAAAAACATATATCCAAAAAAACATGATGATCAAAAAGTTTCAACATTCATTGGTTGTCAATAAAACGTATTGTCTTGCTTGACGTATATCGTTCAACACCTGAAATTCACGCTTTTACGTGAATGAAAAATATTGGTAATCCAATATTACAGCAATAAATTCAAAAATAGTCAATGTGATTGCTGAAATCAATCATTACGCCAATGAATTTAAAAAGGTTGAACCATATGGTAAAATGTTTATAATATATATAAATGAAAGCAGATGATTAAATTGCTTAGTACTAAAAACGTTCTGTGCATATACGATTATACAATTATAAGTTTATTTGAATTCAACTTTACTTAAAAAAATGGCCCGTTTAACGCACATTTCACCCATTGCATTACTAATTTTGTTGGCAGTAATGATTATAACAATTGAAGCTCAAGCACCAGGTAGTTGGTCGAAAATTGATAAGCCGGAATTATTAAAATTGCCGAAAAAAATACAACCAGCTCTAACTGGATTCTTTAATAAAAAGACAAAAGTCAAAAAAATTATAATTGGATTCAAACAAGTTGTCGCCGGTATAAATTACGAACTTGTGGTCGAAATAAAATTGGGCCACGACAAGAGATTATGTGTACTCGAGATATACGAAGACATTAAACAAGTAATCGACATCAAGTCTGCCAAGTGCTCCAAACTGGCTAAGAAATCATCGTCGTCATTGTCGTCATCGTCGTCATCATCATCATCGTCACCCAAAAAATGTTCAACTGGATGCGCCTGTTGCAAGAAAGAATGCTGAATAAATTTAAATTAAAAAAATATCAATTTCAGTAAAAATATTGTAGAAAGGCTTAAATTAAAGAAAAATAAAGATATTGCCTTTTCTACACTGAATGTACTAGTTTTTCATCTTGAGAATTAATGCAATTATAAGAACAGTGTAAGCAAGACGCATTTTGCTCCATTCAACTGACTGTTTTTGTGGATTTTTTTGGTAATATTGGAGATAAGAAATAAAAATATTGAAACAATCACATAAAGCGAAGGAAAAAAGCGTCTAAAATACACATTGAATGGTATCGAGGTACTTATTGTGATCAATCAGTGCAAGTTATGAATAGACTTGATAGACGATCTATAGCGAAATTTCAAAAGGTTCAAAAAAATAGAGTAAAGCAAAAATCCCCAAATACTATATCTGAAATGAAAAAAGTTGTAGATAAGTTGTAGATAAGTTGAAGTGATGAATAAAATTGAAACTCAGATTGTTTTTTTGTGCGTAATTATTACGCCGTAATAAAATGAAGATAATTGTAAGATTACAAGTTTCATTGTTACAAGTACCAATATACTTTTATGAAGATAACGGGTATAATACCTCCTAAAAAATAAAATGTCTTACATCCGTAAGATGAACTTTTCCGCACCGTGATCCACAACATGCATTTATTACAAATCTTTTACTCAGAGAATTCACGAGAAAACTGAATCTGACATTAGTTTTACGATACAAATAATTTTCGAAGCACTTTTCATACAAAAACTACTAAAAATGGGAATTTTTGTATCGAAGCCATGCCTATATGATATCGTAATCATTTGAAAATTTCCAGAGGTTATTTTTTTCACAAAAAATTAACATTCTGAAAGTTTGAAGAAATTTCAATGCATATTAACCTTCATATGCCCTTCAAAAAAAATTACAAATTTTACCCTTGTGCGTGGATTTCTACGCATATGGAATTTGTATGGAAAACACATATTTTGACAGATTTTTTGAAGATATTTTTGATTTTACTTGATTTTTTTCAAAAATCATTACATTAAAAGTGATTTGTTTTTAAAGTAGGCGTTCTACAATACATTTCACGCACACATTTCGATTATGGGTGCTTTTGCAAACACCTTTAGTACAAAAACAACAGATAGTTTCATGCATATTATTTCTATTGGCGGATTTCTCAGTATAGCACATGTGACATCTTGATCTGCCTTTCGACACCGATGGAACACTTTTTGCTCTTTTACGAGGAATTTCGAATGATGTAGATGGTAGCAAAGTTGGTGAACCTTCACGTGACATCGAAGACTCACGAGAAATGGAGGAAGACGAAGACTGAATAGCTGGTGAACTTTCACGCCATTGTAGGGATTCTCGGCTCGCTGAAAGAAGCGATGCTGATGATTCAGATCGTGGCACACCTTTTCTCATATCCATGTATGGCTGCGCAAGAGAATATCCAAGTTCCCGTAGAAAATTGCGTCGTAATGTAGTTTTCTGTGTTGTTTGCCAATTCGGTGACACTTCTTTGAAAATGACAAATGCGTTCAAGGCTGAAATATCGATTATATTCGAAAACACGACCATAGGCCAACGATTTGTTTTGCGCTTACAGCTGTAACACGAAAGCATCTTGTCAACCGTATCCACACCACCTAAAGAAAAGAAATCAAAGATCATGTGAAAAAATATCAAATTACCATCAAAAAGTAGCATTTGACAAACCTTTAGTTTTGTTGTAGTATTCTATAATTTCGGGCAATTTTTTGTCGCCGGATCCTACATCATTTGAACTATGCATTGTGCTTTGCAAAATCGTGCACTTGTTTTTTCGTCCGACATATGAAACGAGTGTTGTGTCTTTCGTGAATGCAAAAGTTGACTGGTACAAAGGAACTTTTTTACATTCAAGGAGCTTTGGTGGAATGCTTCTTTTATTTTTTCGCATCGTACCAACCATTGTGAGACCTTTTGATAGCAATTTCTGCCCAAGTTCATAAGATGAGAAAAAGTTATCCATTGTTACGTTGTGACCTTTCAGTCCGCCAATAAGATCCAATACTACGCATGCACCTTGTCCTTTTTCAGCCGAATCAACACCAACGGCTTTTCCCAAATATGGCTGTATTTTCCATACATAACATGTTTCAGAACAAACTAATTGCCAAAATTTTATGCCATATTTTTCTGGTTTGGATGGCATGTATTGCCGGAACTTACATCGGCCACGAAAACCAAGAAGTTGCTCGTCTACAGTGACACATTCAGATGGATTGTAGAAATCAGGTAAAAGTTCCGACCACTTATCGAATAAATCACGAATTGGTGCAAACTTGTCGGTGGATTTTTGTTGTCGTCTGTTCATGACATCATCGAAACGCATAACTCGGCTCATGTATTGGAATGTTTTCTTTGACATGATCGCTCTGAAAATTGGACGGCCATATTCACCGTCAAATAAATCAACCAAATTTTCATTTTTTGATCTAGGTAAAATAAAAACCCAAACATAAAAATCATCTCAAAAAATGAAAGAAAAATCCAACAACACACCTGTATACACCGGCCAAGATTAGTACAGCGATATACGCATGTAATAAGTTTGAATCGATTTCAATGGCATTTTCGCCATACGTCGCCTTTGCATACGCATTCGAATTCTTCAAAATAATGTTTTCAACTGGTGATGGAAAGAAAAGGAGAAATGCATCTTTGATAGAATCAACACGGTTTTTTGCAAATCTTGTTAGTCCCGGACGAAGTGTGATAACGTTTTCTTTACGCAATCTTCCACTTCGATCTGTCACTGGTTCAGAGTTCCAAACTATGCCATCTTTTGAAATAAACGTTGGATCAGCATTTTCATCAATTTCAATATCGTCTGCTGAGCCATCAATTTCGATATCGTCCGGTTCTTCAACATCAGAATCACTTGTTTCAATCAAACTGTCTTCTTGTAATTCACATTCGTCATCGCTAATGTCGGCATCTTCGTCGTCAGTCTCATTCAATAGTGTTTCCAACTCCTCTTGTGTAAGATATTTTGGTCTAGCCATGTTATATTTTTGAAATTATTCTTCAGAAAATTTCATAACAATACACTACATTGCACACACTCACTAAACTTGCAAACAAACGTTGACTGAATGACGTTTTTTCCGTCAAATACGTTGAAATCCCATATGAGTAGAAATCTACTCACTGAAGGTAGTCTATGTAATTTTTTTAATATTCCGATGCGAAAAATACTTTTGACATCGGGTAACATTTTTTTATGTTTAAAATAAAGCAAAAATTAAAGTCAAGAAGTTTCATAAAAATTGGTTTAGAATTTTTCGAAAAAAAATAAAAATGATATGCGTAGTTTTCTACACCAGGAGCATATAAAGGTTAAGGGTACTTCCCATAAAAAATTTCGTTTTTGAGCGAAAAATCCAAAATTTTGTTTGGGAGGTACCCCTAATATGCATTGAAATCTCTTCAAACTCTCAAAATGGTATTTTTGTATGATAAAAATAACCTGTGCAAAGTTTCAGCTCATTACTACGATATCATACAGGCATGGCTTCCATACAAAAATCCATTTTTTTTGAAATTTTTGTATGAAAAGTGTGTCGAAAGTTATTTGTATCGCGAAAATAACGTCATATTCGGTTTTCTCGTACCCAAAAACCCCCCAATACACATTTTTGAGTGTTTAAGAATACATTAAATATCACTTTTGGAAGAAAAATTGAATTTTCCCATGGATATCCATGGGCATCACACCAGACATGACACTTCACTCTGTCAACAGGGCACAGGGTACCACGCACATACATTCGGACATCAAAAAAACGCTAGATTCGTGTTCCCTGGCTCCTAAAACACCCAGAAAACATGTTTTTTGAGGGTGTTAATTTTTTGACCGATTCCAATACCTTACCTTACACACTAGGTGTGTTCGGAAAAGTAATCGAAGAAGATCCGCACAAAAGAGAACAAAAAAACATGCCATAGACGAAATATATACGAAATATACACGAAATATACACCAAATATATGCAGTTATGCACATTTATTTGCGCGTATTACAGATGATTTTGCAATATAGTTCACTATTTAGAGTATAAATCGTATACATTTGAAGATAAAAGCCCCTAGTACAATGTTGAAATTGATTGTCAAATATTATTGTTTTGACAAATAACATAAAACTTTGTAGTGCGGAAGCCGCATAGCGGCATACGCATGCGTATTCGTTTATTTAATAAAGTACATGCAGTTGCATTCATACACTCATTGCCTACAGTCTATTATTTACTACAAGTCAAGTACAAAGCGCACTTATAACACCATCTATGTAAAACGCGCTTACTACAATGTAAATCAAACGTATATCTGTTTCTCCTTCTTCTTCGCCTCCTCCCCTCTTTAGGTGAAATTATTAACTTTTTGTGACACTTCGATATGTTTACTGGTCAGAAAATAGTTTTTCCCGAATTAATACCAAATTTTCGAAATCATTTCGAGTCAATAATATTTTCACACATCACTACGTTCATTGGATCAAAGTATTTCAGAAGTTAAAATGCACATTGCACTTTGGTTATATTTGTATCGGTTGTGTTGTACATTTTACGAATTTCAGTAATTTGGAATAAATTTATTTAAAATACAATTTAATTAAAAACTGACAATTCAGAAAATAGTTTTACCCGATTATTAGTCATCCACACACTTTAGCAAAATCATCCAAAACATATGTAAAAATAAACAATTTTAAATGAATTGGTCGAATTTCGAATGAATTAGATTCACAATTGTGTTTATAAATGGGGAGAAAAACCCATCAAAACCTAACTAATATATTACATCTTTTCAAAAACATTCATTATCAATTTATAACAATAAATGTAAAACAATAAAAATAAACAATATCAAAAATTGTAAACCTAGCCCATTTCTAAATGGGAAGGTGAAGTGCGGAAGCCGCATAGTGGCATACGCATACAAATTCATTTATTTAATAAAATACATGCGGTTACATTCATACACCTAGGGGGGAGACACCAAAGAATAAATTCCGAATCCACTATATAATTTACTAATCCAGCTGTTCTACTGATCCAAAAACACAAATGTGAAATCGAAACTATTTTTCCTATTCCATGCACTGTTTCCGTCAAAAATGCTAATTCTGCTATTCCGCACTATTCCACTCCGCACTATCCATCAATAAACGTCAAAAGAAATGTCAAATGATTTGAAGTGAAACAATTTTTGCTATTCCATGCACTGTTTCGCTATTCCAAGCGAATCCATTCACAGACGTCGCTATTTCATTGCAATTTCTCGAATCTTTACACTAAAAGTCTAATTCTATTCCACGTGTCTGCCCCCTAGTCATACACTCCACTCAGTTGTCTCCAGTCTATTATTTACAACATTCTCTTTTAGCCTAAAAGGTTAAGTATATATTAATTATAAATATTATAGATTACTATTCTTCAAAATCATCGTTTAAGTAGCACTGATATTAAGTAATCAAATATAATAATCTGTGAAATAAAATGATAAATTTTTCATTTATGGTGCTATACCAAATAAAAGTACGTTCCATGTACCAGTATTATTTAGTCATATCTAGATTCATAAGCAAAAGCACATATAAATTATTTAGCAATAAACAGAGTGCTGCAGTCATTGAATACTTTTTTTTGTTTTCCATTTTAAAAATGTTGACATTTTTTTGTTCGATTGTTTCGACGATTTGCTGCGGTCATTTACACCTCACAGTGAATACAGATTCTGGTCCAATCGTTGGAGTTTCACAGAAAACATTTGTCAATGAAGTACCTTATATTTCATATAAAGGAGTACCCTACGCTCAACCGCCAGTCGGAGAATTACGATTTAAAGTAATATTTTGAAAAGCGAATTGAATACAATTATATTTTGAATTAATAAAACAACTTTGATGTAAACAGGCACCACGTGCAGTAAAACCATGGATAAAACCACTCGTGACCAATGACACATATCAGAATTCCTGTATTGTAGTTGCTGACGGCAGAAGTATGGGACTGGATGGACAAAAGCAAAGTGAAAATTGCCTTTTTCTAAATATATACACACCAGGTAATTTTGTGAAATACGATTGAAAATAATTGTTTCAATACACTCGCTCATTTTATCTTTAGTCATGGACGATGTTAAAGTCAATAAAAATTTACCCGTGATATTTAACATACCCGGTGGTGGATTTGTTGACGGTGACGGTACCAATCAATATTATGGACCTGATTTTATATTGGAGCAAAATGTCGTTCTTGTAACACTCAATTATCGTTTGGGTCCATTTGGTTTTGCCAATTTCGATTTAGAAAATTATACGGGCAATATGGGACTCAAAGATCAACGAGAAGCATTGAAGTGGGTTAAAAAGAACATTAAATACTTCGGTGGTGATCCGCAGTCCTTGACGATTTTTGGAGAAAGTGCTGGAAAGTAGTTCTTCTCTTTTTGAATACGATAAAATTTCACATAAATACAATAATTTAACGGTGTTTGTTTTTGCAAAAACAGGCGCAGCTTCGGCACACTTACAAATTTTATCCAATTCATGTGAGTATATTAACCATGCAATCATGTGGAGTGGAAGCGCTTTCAATTACTGGGCACATCACAAACAAAATAACCAACTCGATTTGTTAAGAGAAACTTTTAAAGCTGAACTCGGTAATGGAACAAGTCCAAAAGAAATATTAAATTTCATGATCAATGCTCCAACGCAGCTCATTGTTGAGAAAACACCAACTTATGATTTTTCCAATGGTTTGATTGAGGTGTACTGGACACCAGTTATTGAAGGTGAGTTTGTTTTTTTATTATTATTTTATACTGTTATAAGCAAGATCAGCAACGAAAATGTTATTTAATTCGATTAAATTATCAATACTCCTTACCAGATGAAAACAAATCTGATCAGCCATTTTTAACTGAAAAACCACATGACATCTACGCAAACAATCGATTTAGTTCTCACTGTAAAAATGTTGAAGCTATTTTCGGCATAACAAGTGCTGTAAGTCTATAAGACACTTCCAACTTTCAAGTCCATTTATGAGAAAATGAACAATGTAAAATTTCAGGAATATATGATGTTCTTAGATCCCAACAATCTGTATGGATGGGTTGAATCAATGAAAAACAATTCCCCTTTTGGTCTTCCATATCATGGGCTTGCGCTAAAATCCAATGATGATGTATTCATTCATTTGCACTCATTTAAAAAAAAAAATACTAAAAATTTTCTTTTCATTTACAGAGATACAAAGCAATGCAAGCTAAAATAAAGAAGTTTTACTTTGGCGATGGAGACATTGAGGCAACACCCGCACGGCTTAATCAATATGTTCAAATGCAGTCAGACATTAATTTCCTTGTTCCCTTTTATGAAACAATGCGGCTGCATGCAAATGTATCAAAAACTTTTTGTCATCAGTAAGCACATTATTTTTAAGGAATATTCATAGTTTGCAGAGCTTGAAAACGCACTTGGGAAGTTCTTGAGAAGAGCGTAAAGAATTTGCCAGAAGCCGCTCCTGAATTCGTATTAATCACACTAATACAAACAACGTTAATCACCTTAACACGTTCACAGCTAGGAGCGGCTCTCGGCAAGCGCGCTTTTCGTGAAAAACATGAGATCTAGGGGCGGATTATTGTAAATCTTTCAGAAATTCCAAAATAATTTGGTTTCCGAAAATTAAAGACCAAAAAGGTCTTCAATTCTATCATTTTATTTTTTCAAGGAAGAGAAGTAATGAGAGGCTATGCAATTTTTGTTTGAATTATTTTCATAAAAAACGTAAAGTTATGTATTTTTTATTTGTTGATAATTTTTTATAGTTTCGATATTAATTTGAGTGCAAACATTATTAAAAAATCAAGACATTTGGAAATGGTGGAAAGAATGGGTCACATCGAAGATATTGGATACATGTTTAAGTGAGTCGATGATGTGACCAAATATATTTTAAATGCGATAAATCGTATTATTTTCCATTTAACAAATTCAGAGCAAATCTATTCAAAAAAATATACGATGAAGTCTTGAACAATCGCAGCAATGTAAACAATCAAAAGACGATAAATGCATGGCAATTTGTGACGAAACTATACACTGATTTTCTAAAAACTGGGTATACAAAATCATAATAATACCATTCACACATTCATATGATCTTAACGAAAATGTGTCGCGTTATTGGTTTCAGGTCTATGGCATACAGTAGTCCAGTTGAATCAGTGGAAAATGCTAAATGCGTTGATATTACCAACAATGGTTTAGCCTCGATCGTACGACCAAAGAATGAAGCAATTGAGATGTGGGATGAAGTTACTGAATACCTTAAACCCCACATTGTTATCGAATATTAGAATGCACTTAAAATTTTATACAATAAAAATTATTACATTATAAATTATATCTTTGTACTCTTTCCGTTCTTTGAAAATGTACATTTAATATTTGTCATTCAAGAAAGTTTATTTTCATCCAAACCAATTGAACTGTAATTCATGTTAAATAAGTTTTATACACTTAATTGCAATAGTGTTTATAAAATGAAGGAGTTTTATCATAAAATGCTTCATAATTTCTTCAATCTGCTAGTTTATGCAATAATAAATGAAACATTAGAAACTCCAGTTGAATATATTGAAACGCCAGTTGTTATATATCAGAATACCAAAAAGAAAACGTCACCCAAAATATTGTTCAATAAATATTGAAGGTATTTTCGCACACAATGTAGGTAGAAATATTCCCAAATGTTGGTTCCGGAAAGTGATGGTATTTTGTAAGTATAAGTTTTAAGTTGATGTATGTGCCTGTGCATCTTAAATCACGGCTCAATTCAATCGAGAAAATCAAGCTTTTCTGAACTGCGATTGTCATCAGATCGTTTTTACATAGAGTATGGTCGAATGCATAGCATTGAATACATTGTGCTGCGTGTTATGCAGCACAAATGAAATATTCATTTGTATCAAACGCACACACACATACAAATGTGACAGGGAACGTCGCGATTCAGGGCGATACAGAATTACAGAAAAGGGCCACACAAAATTGAGATAGACATAGAATGAGCATGTGTAGAGAAATGAATTTACGTATCTTCTGTTCACTCACTGAAAATGTAATTAAGCTTAATTGCTTTTTCTTTAATTACAAATAAAGTGTTTCAGCAGAAAATTTTAATTGTATAGCACGGGAAATTAGCATTTAATGAAATTAAATAATAGCTGAAATGCCGAAAATAAAATGCAAAGAAATGGACAATTAAAAAGCCAAACGTAGCAAATACATACACTTTCTCGCACTCCCTTTTCTCAGCTTCTTCTTTACTCTCTTGAACACGTGTATTCTATTGTACACATTTACACACGTCCCATACTACCGAATATACGACGGAAATATTTGGGACGAATTAACATTATAATATTAGAATTGAATCGAAATGCATTGAAGCAATGCCACTGCCGAACGTTATATGCCTGTTCACTTTACTCTGATTTGTCAACAGTTTACATGAGTTTAGCTATTGTTTCCGACATAGCATTATTGTTGGCGGAGAATATGTTTTTGAGGTGAAGCCTAGGGGATAGATACTGGCCATTTTTATCGAATACAAAATTAGGATGGTCCAATTTCACACGACTTTTTCTACTTTTAAAATTTCCATTTCTCCAACCTGCTAATGAACTTGATTTATTGAGAAAAAAAAATGAATTCTTGTGTTATATTCGTTACAATTATTTACAAAATTGGCGCTGGTTTTTATTTTATTAAATAAAATAAATTTTTTATTCATCATGCACAACTGTTCATGAACCATGGTAAAAGGCTCTCTTAAATAAGCTATATTGGCGGGGACAAATAAAAAAATACGGTAAATCAAATGCTTTTTTATTAAAGTTAATCATTTTGTAGACACACAAGTGGACATTTCCAACATATAATTTAAAGTGGTACATTATTTTAAATTACATTTCAATTCGAAACAAAGTTTCAATGCACTTAAAATTTTCAAAATAAATAAACACTCAACTACCATAAACTAAATATGAATGGTTGAGAATAATAATGACTCACGCCGAAACCGACTGTAAACCGAAAGAGATAGTTGTAAAATTTCTTGGTAAAGTTTGAGATCACTACTAAATCTCAAACTACATCAAGAAATTTTACAACTATCTCTTTCGGTTTAGCCACTAGACACTGAGCAAAAAGAGTCGGTTTCGGCGTGAGTCATTATTATTCTCAGCCATTCATATGATTGTCGTTGCCTAGCAATAATTATGCTTTTTGTATCAAACCCACTCACGCTCATTCGCATTTTATTTATCTTTGTTATACATTCGTCTAACTCTTCCGAACTTAATTTTATTTCCTCACGGTGGAAATTTTCTTTCAGAACTAACAACCACCCCTCTTGCTCAGAAATTTGAACTCACACACAACTGATCTAGATATCAAATCAAATTATTTAACTGAACAAAATTGAAATTAAAAAAATTGCGATTCAAAATGTGCTGTAAATTAAAAATTATATTTATTTGATTTTTCGAAAAATGCACATTCGCAATTCAGCGGAAGTGAGTGAAAATAATTGCCCAAATAGAGTTGTGAATTACCTTCGAATATATCAATTAACCGATGCAACCGACCAATCTGAAGCATGTCAATTATTTTCGTTCCCAATTACAGGGAAAATTTAATTAATTTAAATATTAAACAATATCATGCATGAACGAGTCGATTGAATGGAAAGCAAGCAATGCAGAAGTGGATGCACTCATCCAAATGACGACAAATCAAAATTCAACTATTATCAAGGACATTTCAATTATATTTACATGTGAAACTATTTGTGTCCGTAAGAATAAATATGGCAATACAAAAACGGCATCTGAAGAACGTTACATAATTTTTTTTTCTGAAAAATCCTTAGGATCCACCAAAGCCCAATTCCAGAAAAAATCGTTATAACATGCATCCCTTTCTAACAACTGATTAAGAATCACTTACTATCCTTTTGCAAAATTTATTTAGTGCGAAACATGCTATATTGAAAAATATGATGCAGCACTGAACATTTATTTCGAACCGTCATAACTGGACAAAAGTACGTATGTAATTATTTACATCCAGAGGTAGAGTAATGTCGGGTGATGTGAATCAGCCTTAAAATTCGTACGTAACGATGACAGATGCTGTCATAAGTTGCTATAGCACTGACATTACCTTGTTTTCTATAAAACATTCACGATGTAAAACGCACGTTTTTTTTCTCTACGACAATAGAGTGAAAATTTAGTTTGCAAAAGTTTTTCCAAGCCATCACATAAAACGAGTTTTTGTGAAATTTTTTCAACATATTTGAAGGTAAACATATTCATAGTGTTGGTTTCTTGTTTATTTTTAATAATCCAAAGAGATTTTGTGATTTGCTCATGTGTTGTTAGTGAAGCGTAATTCCGCGTAAATAAAACAAAATAGCGTTAGTCGGGTGATGTGAATCACGCTATTTACGCTATTTTACGTTACTTTATCGCCATTTCGTTAAAAAAATTCAAATAGGTGTCGCTCTTAAGGTAATTTTCAACGATTTATCGAATGGCATCATTATTTTTTTACCCTGACCCCTTCCAACCCCCTTTTCTGAGAGTTTATCATTTTTTTCCTCTCAAAATTATGTCCGACGCTAGTTTGAGTGAATTTTTTTCACCTATATTCGAAATATTTTTCATTCCACTATCGATTAGCATCATTATTTTTTATCCACTGGATACCCCTTGACCCCTTAGGGGGTATTCTGGTTACGAACTTCCGACCTCAATTTAAGGTACGGGGGACGAAAAAATCCCATGACCCCAGTAGTATTTCTTCTATACCCCCAGTATTTTTAAGTGCTCTATCGATTGGCATTATTAATTTGCCCCCCTGGCCCTCCCCCACTATTAGAGGGTGGAAAACACCTCACTTACAATACCATAAACTTCACCGGACCAAAAAATGATGTACTACAAAGTTGTTCAGAATGACGAAATAAATTTTCTGGGTACCTGCCCTCCCCTCCCCTGCCCCAGAGAGGTTGGGGGTCTCCTGCTCTTAAAATGTGACTTTTTCGTTTTGATTCGTATTCAGCGTGTGAAGAGCCTTAGAAAAATGATACCTCAACCCATATTTAGTGGCATATTAGTGATCTTATGATTTTTTTAATGTTTTCAGTCATCATGCCACAATATTATAAAAGCAAAGGTCTCGTTACTCCAGTCGATTCTGTGAGATTGCTTGCAGCAATTAAATTGATTAAAATCGACAAGAAATCGATTCGTGCTGCTGCTGCTAGCTGTAGGTTGAGCCAACCGACCTTAAGCCGTTACATGAAGAAGTTCGACGAACAATTTCGTGGGAGAAGTATTGCTTCTATCACCGATAACGAAGCACTTAGTTTTTGAAAAAAAGTTGAAGACTTGTGCCCAGCGTGCAAGCAACCGTTGCCAAAAAAATTGAATCGCCAGAATTCAATTTACTGCAACACCTGTGACACACCATATCACTTGAGATGTGCCGATATGGGAAATCGAAACTATTTCACATGCGAGGGTTGCGACTCAGATTATGAGTGATAATTTTTTGTCATTTTTCCATTTATTTTTTTCATTTTTGAGCGATCAATAAAAATAAAATTGATGTTTTTTTCTTATTGAAATGGTCAAGTTGTTGTTTTTCTCCTCTTTTTCGTATCAATGCTGATGGCGCTGATTAGCGGCATTCGTATTTTGTTTCTTCACAAAGCGCGACGATGACAAGCGACGTTGATAGTGCGGTTGCTAGTGAAACTAAAAAAAAGCACAAATTTTGATCGCCTAAATCAAAAATGGTACGAATTTGTGCCACCCAACATAAACTGTGGCAACCATAATGAAGTTGCTGCGTTGCCTAGCTGTCATTGTCGTCGTGATCACAAAATTTTCCCTTACTCTCACCCCAAATTGAGGCTCCCATTTTTCGTGAGACTGGGCTCAGAAGACATCGGGAAAAAACATTTTCTAAAGGTTTTTTGGCATGCTAATTCCGAATTTCAGTAGATTTAAGCAGACCAATGCATTATTTTTTACTTTTGATATTCAACTATTCAATATGCCCATTTCAACGGGAATGTCAATGTAATTTAACATCTCAAATCGAAACTAAACAGCGCGCTAAACAGTTTGAAATGTGTTTATACGCCCTCCTATTGAAATGAATGGATCAATTGCGACAAACGTACAGAAGTATCAATTTAAAATAGAAATAAAAAAGTAGCGATAAATTAAATCAAATTTATTGCTTAATTGAACAATATTTAACAATATAACGTTGCGTTTTGTATTTCATTGTGCAGGAACGTAAGTTTTGATTTTTTTAGAGTTGCTGGGAGTTTCATTTATATATCGTTTCAATATAAATTAATTAGCTCATGAAAGCTCTAATTATGCTTATCTATTTACATTTATTTAAATGGGCAAATACGCAGCGAGCATACATTTTGAATATTTTGAATTCCTGGAATTGAGTGGGTGCATATAAAATGAAGCAAATGTGAATAGTATGAAAATGCATTTTAGTAATTAAAAATTAATTTGCGTTAATATTTATTTAATGAGATTCTATTTTGTTTGTATGCAAAATTTACCAATCAGAAAGTGAACATAGAGCCGATTAATATAGTGCACACTCAACAATTAGCACAATTGAAGTGTGTTTGTGTGAAGTTTTGTTCGCTGCATTGGCATTTGTCAATGAACGTTTCCGCTTGAAAAGTGTTTCGTTTAAATGAAATTGAGTGAAAACTTCTATTTGTGACAAATCTCTGCACCACTTTTAATATGCAAAATATATTATAGTTTCCTACACTCGAGGCCAATCGTCAACTAATTGAAATAAGAATTGAATTGATTAGAATGATTGAATAAAATCGATTAAATTGTGGCTTAATGATTTTTGGCCGAATCAAGTTATATAATGTAATGGACCGAACGGAACATCTATGTTGATTATTCAAACAGTGCATCGCGTAAAACAATCAATGCATCTGATTTTAGCGGCTTAATTAAATTGGTGTGTAAATAAAGGAAACTAAGTAACATGCAAATCTATTGCAATTCGAGAACAATTGCATCGAATCAATATAGATGCACAATCATGTTAGAAAATTCAAATGGGAAAACTCAATGCGCCATAATGATGATTATTTTTGTCCCACACCAAAGCTGCAAATTCAATCGTATCCTGTACACTAGCACACACACACACACGCACACATTCCGAATAATGGCAAAATGACAGAGTGAATTTTCAGCCGTTGCACAAGCAGAGCAATAAGCAGGTGAGACATAATTGTACATACATTTGCATGCACGCACTTTATCGATCGAAAACAATTGAATCACATACACCTCATTGCATCGGCCACGCCATACCACCCCACCACACCACACACACTAAACTTATCGTGAAATCAATTTATTAACTAGCATATAATTAAATTCAAATATAAATATTACATGGTTTCGTATTATGTATTCGACATTGCTGTGTTAACTCCACCGCATATTGTATAATTCATCGTTGATGCTTTATTCGTACGCAGTATCAACGCAACATTTTAAATGGCAAATTATGCGGTTTATTATCAATCAACCATGAAAATGATCAATTGGAAATTAGTCGTAAACTTGACTATAGCTGTCTGTACAATGTACATAACCATGTTCAAATTCATTCACCCATCCAAATCGGCCGGATTGAGTGCTCAGGTAAGACGGAAACACCACGAATTACGCCCGTTTTTTTTACAATTTTCGTCGATTTTATAATCAACATCTCAATGATTTGGGATTTTTATTTACCTTTTCAAAAACTATATAAGCAATGTTATAAAAAATATAAGCATACATACTCCATAAATTTTAGTTGACAGTTTCAGATCACATCGCCGGATTTCAATTTCAGATCGACATAAGAAAATCTAGCAGCCTTAGATGGAATGAACTTTTGGAGACATTTTTTTCGATTTGCTAGGCTTTTTGCCAAATTTACCGGTAGTCGATTTTGGCTTCTTATCGATTTTTGTACCAAAAAACGATTTTGGTAAGATGTCTCTTCGCTCTAAATTGAGAGTCAACATTAAATGTTATTAAAATAATTATAAATAAAGAATGGAAGTAAAAATATTCATTCAACTATATATACTCAACAACTCAAAAGCAGCATAAATTAATTGAAGTTTTTTCCACTGTATCGGTAAGAATTTTAAATGAATAATTAAATCTTCGAAAAGCATCAATTAGTTCGAATTGAATTGAAAAGGAGCATAAATCACAACTAATTTTACCTTCTCACGTACATGCGAATTTAAATGCAATGGCGAAAATGTCATAAATTATGATAAACCTATTGGGATGGGCAGATGGTGGCAAGAGTGTGATAGGAAAGAGGGGTTAGTTTGAAAATGTGTCGGTATAACATACGTATTCGCATTTGTGTTGAACATTGTTTGGCTATTATTAGTATATTTTAGCGTTAGTTTTTGGTTTTGTCCGATGTTCGCAATTGAATTGAAATGAAAACAATAGATGTAGAAGTGAAATGTATCTAGTAAATAAATCGTAAATTGTAAATAAATGTTAATCAATTTAGAATTTTGATTATATATCCATATAACTCATCAAAATGTACGGAATTTGGCGAATGGTTACAGTGTGTGAATGGGTAAACGGTTGAATGTGAATTGTATGCAGCATTGATCTATTACATACAAATATACAATGCAAAAGTACACAATGCACATGGCATAAATGTTTGTCCACGTATGTATATGTGCGATGTGCCACAATCATGTGCATTTTGAATTAATAAAACGATATTATTATTTAATTTGGCTAATTAAATGCATATCAACGTTTGGTGAGGCTATCACTGATTTTATAAATTAACTATGCTTCATACTGTCATGTTTACTAGTGCATTAATAAATTTGCTTCCGGCGATAACAAACTGACGGTATTTGGGTTTTCCATTGTTTATATCGATTATCTGGCGAAATATGTATGCAAAATGTCAAAGTTCTCAGATCAGAAAGAGCACGGCCAATCGTGTAGTACATGTGTGCATTTGACCATTCTGATTTATAAGAATGGCACTTTCAATCGTTTCTTCTTCCTCTTTTTACGCCTCCAACAACCTATGCCATGCAGTTCATGAACGATTTTAACTTTCAGTACAACAATAACAAGAAACAATTTGTGTAAAATATAATAATTTCGTTTTATTTCACTAATTTGAATATGCTGCCAATTGATATTACAGAATTATTGTAATCGCAACATTGTCGGTTAGTGTTTGCGTTAAATTTGAGCAAACAAAAACGTCGATCGTTCGAAATATCATATGTGTATGATTTGTCTTATATTAGATTAGTCAAAGATGTATAACTGTGTGTGTGTTTTTTTATCTCCTCTTTCTCGCGTCGCTGTTCTATTAATATACATTCTTTACGACATTAGAAATAACAAGTCCCTTTCTCGAGAAGCACTTCTGGCAACAAAACTATTATTTCACCTATTTTTCATTTAAAAAAAGCATTCTATTCTGCGGGCGACTCAAAACACGCTCAAGTTTATAAAATAAATACAGAAGTGATATTTGTCTCTTTAAACAATGTCTCTTTTTTATGTAAATATATATGTAAAAAAAGTGAAAACTAAATTTTACGTTATTAGTGTCTATTTAAAAATGTCGATTATGTTTCTTTTTTTATTGTAACTTTGTTTGTCATCCATTTCCTCTTAATTTGCTTATATAATTAATACCATTAATTTATTTCGTCTATTTTTTTTTTTTTTTCATTTGTCTCTCTTCGAAACGTCTCTGTATCTGTTATAATTATATAGAGTGAGCGCAAAACATACACGTAACAACAAAATCATAAGTTCATTATGAGTCAGATGAAAACCGTTTGATAAAAATATATATTATTCAATGAAAAAAAAAGATTCTTCTATAAAATTACAAAAAAAGATGATCTATTTTATGAAAACGGAAACGAATTTCTGAATTGGACGATATTTAAACCATAGTAAGGCAGCCGGCTCCCATACCGAATCCAACACCTAAAAAAAAACGCACAAAGCAAATCATTGTTTCCGTTTGATGGGGTTCAAAATAATGTTTTTTTCTATTACCTTTCGGACCGTAATGACGATTGTAACAACCTCGGCAGTAGATTTCATTATCTGGTGCATCGCACAAATTTGTTGAGTCTAATGATTTATGGCAATCGCTGCATGAGAAGCAACGTTTGTGCCAATGACGATTTTTGCTAATCATCTTTTCAGCTTCGTAAACTGGGAATCCACAACGTTGACAACCAGAGCCAGCAGGAGCCTTTTGACCACCGAACGCTCTACCATCAGGGCTATCATAATTGAATTGATTTGTTTAATAAATGGAATTTAATAATAATCACAAAAATGACATTATGACATGAGTCTACTCACTAAGCAATTGTTGATTCACCGCTGGTTGACACCAAAGTTGGTGAGTGACCATAACCGAAACCTAATTTGATCAAAATTATAAGAACCAATAATATAAACCAATCACAAAGAGAGATTCAATAGTCATACCTTTTGGTCCAAAGAGTTTGGCGTAACATGAACGGCAATGGATTTCACGGTCGGGCCCATCGCAAGCAAGTGTTGAATCTAATGGTCGATGGCATTCAGCACAGTTGAAGCATTTTTGATGCCATATTGATCCTTTGGCCAATTGTTGTTCAGCCGCAAACACAGCTCCGCCGCAACGTGGACAACCCTGGCCTGGTGCAGCTTTAATCGATGTTGTATCCGGATCAGCGAATGGTTTGGATTGCGAAATTTGTTCTTCACTGTATTCAATGATTCAATTAGTTCAAAACTATTGAAGATAGATAAAAACTATTTTACTTACGTCAATCCATCGGTTTGAAGGAAACCAGATCCGCATGCGAAACCATAACCTATTTTCAAACAAAATCATCATTTTGAATAAATGCATTGAATTCCTATGTTGCACATGAAACCAGCGAATTTATATTTATCAAATTCACACCATACCAGCTCTATTTCACTCTGACAAATTGCCAAAAAAGAATTTAAACATTTTTACCATACAATTAATAAATCGAAAAATTCACTCGGAAATAAAATTGGTATGGTGTTTGGAATGAATATATAATGCAGTAACTATACGTATAAAACGTACCATGAGGTCCCCATTTTTTTCCTGAATGATAAAAACGAAAACAAAGAGAAAATGTCAAGAAAGTCGCATTCAATTAATATATTGATGTGTTCGCCTACCGTAGCAAGTTTTACAATATACATCTCTGTCGGGTCCATCGCATGCGATAATCGAGTCAAGAGTCTTGGTGCAGTCTTTGCATTTAAAGCATTTGCGATGCCATTCGCGTCCTTTTGACAACACCAACTCAGCCGCAAACACAACACCACCGCATCGTGGGCATCCTTGTCCTGATTTTTTTTTGTGAAAATCACAATAGTTTTTAGCAATCAATGCATATCTTTCAAAAAAAACACACAATGATTACCTGGTGGAGCTTGAATCTTGGCCGTATCGATGGAGTATGTTTTTGGAGCCAGTTCACTTTTAAATTGAAAAATAAAACATCAGATAAAAAAGAAAAAATATTCGGTTACGATATAATCACAAAAAATAAGCATACGTTCATTAAACTCTATTTTAAATACATTCGTGTCAATTTTGGGATTCGATACATCACACACAATGACATACAGCAGTATTCAGCCATTCGCAATATTCTAAAAATACACAAAGCATTCAATTCATTAAACCCACACAGTATCAGATTGCGCAATTTAACGCATCTACGTCATCCAAATAAAATTAATAACTGGTACCCCGAACATGTGTTTTAGTCACAGAAAGTTTAGAAAATGTATGATTGTAGCAAAAAAAAAAGATTTACGACAGAATTTATTTAGTACGTCATTCAACTTGAAACTGTGATTGAATGGAATATCGCAAGCACAACATAAATCAATCAAACTTTTACTGTCACTTATTTTTTTTGCATTTTGATGCGTTACCACGAAATAATATGTTAATTATTTCTTTTTGTTGAAAAATACACAAATCTATAACAGTGCATTCATACTGTTAGCTAATTTTTATTTTTGCACCGATACATCTATGCCATTCATTCGATTTGATGCCAGTTTGGAACACATAATTTTTCGAATATGCTGTATGAATTGAATATTAAACATGTAAATGGACATTTTTTTTATTCAATCGTTTTAAGATTAGAGAGAATTTAATATATTTTGTATAGAAAAATCGACATGTAAAAAGGTAGGGCACAATGCATTGAGACAAAAGAGATACCTTTGCCATTCTTTATCTCTAATATCGGACATCAAGCCCAGAGAAGAGAAGCCAATATGACCATAGCCTCTGACACCATAGCGTTGTGCATAGCAACCTAAATACAAATTCATTACAATTACTCTCGGTTTGTTTTAACCATCAGCCGTATCCACTTTTCATGCGGAGGAATTATTTCTTTATTGTGGTTTTCATCGTTCACAATTCACACAACATACACACAAAACAATATTGATACAGAAAATAACCCGACTTACTTATTTTCGTGGGTCTCACTTTGTAGAGTACCTCCACCTTGACCGTAGCCATAGCCCTTTGGACCGAATCGCTTGGCATAGCAAACTGTTTTTTTTATACCATATTTAGTTACATAATGATAAAAAAAATATACAAATTTTAGTCACAATATGAAGCAATGAAGAAATTTGATGAAGCAATGAAGAAATAGGACAAATGCCACGCCATTTTACCATATTTTTTTAAAAACTGAGATCGAATTGGTAAACGCGTTGTTTCGGAGACTGTTTCTCAGAGCAATACATGTGAAGATGACTCCTTTGGCTCATCAGAGCGCTCCTCTTCACATGTATTGCTCTGAGAAACAGTCTCTGCATTTTGTTTGCATTCATTCTCATTTTTATGTAAAAAGGCCGTTTATTTTTTGCAAAAAAAATCTTTCTACGTTTTTAGCAATATTTTAATAATTCTAATAATTGGAAGCACAAATGTTAGCAGGTACAAGAAATCGTTTTTTTTTTTATTTATTAAAGATATTTTATTAAAATTTTAAATTTATTCAAAAAAAAGAACACTTTCAACAGAAACTTTACTTAAATCTGAAGTTCGTAAATCACAAGGCTAAAAAGTTAGACGCACAATTTTGAATTGCTTTCTAATTACTAAACGTCCACTGTACTTTTCACATGTACTTTCCTTATTAGTTTCAACACAAAATATGCTATATTTAATTTAATTAGTAAGCCATTTTCAGTTAGGATAGCACAGATATAGTTTTGAGTGACACACATAATCAAATATTGACATTAGTGGATGCATTGTGAAATATTACTGCGTTTGAACTTGAATGATCCAATTTGAAATGAAGAAATTTCTTATTATTGACATTGGTCCAGATTCAAAAAAAAAACTTTGAGCTGATGATTGTAAATAAAATATTATCAAGAAAATCGCGATGAAATAGATTTGAAAAATGCGAAAAAGATCTGGTAGCAAATGATTAAATAGAGAAAAAGAGAGAAATCCAAAAAAGCTTTTGTGAGTTGCAAACCAAACCAAAAGTTGATTGCACACACCTTTGCAGTAAATATCCTTATCGGGACCTTCACAACAGTTAACCGAATCTAGACGTTTTGAACATTCGCCACATTTGAAACACTCTTTGTGGAAGCCCTAATGTTGGGGAAAAAATGTAAATATTCACAAATTGTTGCTTGATTTATTTCGATGACAACGAAACGTTTTATCGAAGAAATGTATAACCTTTGAACGAACAAATATTTATTTTGAGGTTTTATGATATGAATATGACAATAATATTGTTAAGTTCGAATGTGAGAGATTTTCCAAATAGAATAAATTGAATTGCCTTTCGATTCTTTCCACAAATTGGGTTGATTTAAGCTAAAGGATTTATAAATTGCAGCATCCGAATCAATTAATAGTAGGTAATGTGACCACTTACAACATTGAAAATGAAAACGTGCATGTCTTTGGAATTTGATCGATTCAATTCGGTCGCGATTCAGATTTCAGAATATGAATTATCTTGGATTGTTCTGTAATGAGATCGCTTATCATGTGCACCATATCGATAGAGAGTATCATCGAAACGACTCGTCTTGTTGAGTAGTGAATGAAGAATCAATACTACGTTTCGTTTTCGTGTGGTTAAACCGACTTAAAATTGGATTCAATAATGTTTACTACATTGGAGCGACTACCGTCTAGTGTTGACGGTCTGTCACGAGAATTCAATAAATTCGTGCAATTTAATGAATCTCTGGATTCAGTTTCGTTGAATGCTTTTATGGTCAGCTTAAATCCATCTTTGTTCTATTGATTAGATTTTAAGCAAATGTGATTTCGAAACAAATGGAAACAAATATAAAATAAATAAATAAATGATAAAATAAAATAACAACACGTATTTAACGAATCAACAATGAAACGGTGTGTTTGTCGTTGGAGACTCAAAAAACAAATAGAAAATAAAATATAACATTTAATGGGAATATATCATCGTGGGTATTATATTCGTCAGTATAACATTGAGACGATCAGACTAAGACAGAGAAAGACAGACAGGTGCTAGATACAAGTGCATATGGTATTTGTACCTCGACAATATATTTCTTTATCAGGCCCGTCGCAGTGCATGGTTGAGTCCAATGTTCGATTGCAAACCAAGCATTTGAAGCACCGTCTGTGATAGCCCTAACCCGAATCACGATACAATGCATGTAAATTAACACCATATTATTAACGGTATTTCAAAAGAGAAGGAGACAATTTTTTGACGTGCATTGTCGCGCGACGGCAAAATATAAGAAAGAGAAAGAACTCAAGTTAAAAACAATTTGTATCGTGTTGTTGAATGAAAAAAAAATCGTGAATCAAATTTGATTTGATTGAGACACAGCATTAACACTTTTTTTGTTATACGTGTGTGTAAAGGTCTTCTTCGTGGTTGGTGATGTTTCCTTTCACTTTTGATAAAAATAAACATACTTGCCTTTAGCAATAACATTAAATACTTACTCTTCCGCGTGCCAACATTTGTTCGGCGGCGTATACCCATCCACCGCATCTTGGACAACCTTGTCCTTCGGGTGCCTTCAAAATGACTCGTGGTTCCAAACATGCACCGTTTCGAACTCCTCCATCGCCATTCCTATTATATATTTTGTTTGTTTGTTGAGTTGTTATGGATTTTGATTTTTGTGTATGCATTCGTCCCGATCAATGAGTGTGAGAGATAGTTTTGAGTTTGCGATTTCGTTTTTCGAGTATGTTTTATTTTGTGCGTATGAGGGTGTGCATGTGTGTGTGTGTAATTTTGAAAATCGTGTTTGTATTCATTTTTTTTTTGTATGAAAAAAGAACCGGAAAAAAGAGAATTGTATTAACAAACTTGTCGTTTGGAACGTTTTTAATTGTGAAGTTAGCATTTTTAATAAGTTTGAGTGCAAAAAACGATTTTAGCTGTGATATAAAGAATCGTATTTTTTAAATCATTTTTATTACTCGTCAGTTGTGTTGCGATCGAAAGCTATTAACTGATTAGGAATTTTTTTTTAAATGGTGCATTGAAATTAATCAAATGTTTGACTCAATTGTAAATTATTTATAAACGTTTTTTTTTTTAATTTTTGACCGAACTCCCGCAATGACTTTTGTCATTTTTTAGTTTTCGGTACATAACCAGAATTGAATGTTAAATTGAATTGAATGGAACATTTTACTGAATTTGTTCCAATGCATCTGAGTGGTTTTATGACACCTTTTTCCCTTTCATTTCCCAGCAAGACGGAGAATGTTTAGTTCTTGTTTTGGGGCACAATTTCCTTATCCCATGAAATAAAACAAAATTAAATCATAAAAGAAATGTGTTAGTCACTAATCACTACGAGAGATCATCATTAAAATTGGTGATGATCAAACGAAAGCAAAATGACAAACAATCATTTTTGCGATGCTTATTCAAATGTTAAAAATTGGGTCCCATATCGAAAGGTAAACGCACTTAAGAAAACACTTGCAATTGGTAAAATGTGTTAAAATTAGGTTACATGGGCCGCGGCCAAATGGTAGTTTTTTTTTTTTTTGTTTGGAATATTCTCACCCGTTTGCAAATCAGGAAAATCATCATCTCGAAATGCATACCAGATATATTGGGATACCATATTTATAAGTTTATCTATTGCACATACATAACTTTAACTCGAATCTTTATGCAAACTAATATCTATACTATGTTTTACTTTGGACACTTCTTATGGATCTCTCAAACTCATTTCATTGGACTTATGATTCAAAAAAAATAAGAAAAAAAATCTCAAACCAAAAAAGAAAATTCTATGGAAAGAAAAGATGGTGTGGCGAACAAAAATATTTCCTATCAAACTGAATTCAGGAAAAACGCATGTATTTTATTTGTTTTGTTTTGCTTTGGAATCGAACCAATGTTTGTGTGCTTCATTTTATTCAAATTGTGTATATTATAATATTTGTTTACACGTGAAAAAAATTTGTTACACAGTTGGTTAATGACAAAAAAAAATGTTGATACTCAAAGGATCGATACCGCGCGCATATTTGGTGGTCAACAATAAATAACAAACAAAACAAAAACTCATTGTTCACTACATCTATACAAAAACACAGAGAGATAAAAACTCACTAAATTAGGTGAAATTTTGAGTGGTTAGGCTAATTTTTGAATTTTGTTTGTTGTTGTTTTGTTTTGTTTTCCTCAACGTAAATATGGATATATGGATTGTAAAATTGTGATAAATTTTTTTTTTTGGGTATCAGTGTGATCAACAAAAAACATCGAAAAAATATTATCTATATATTTATATTCGTATACGGGCAAAAACACATATTTTCCTAATTTTTATAACATGTGAATGATAACAGATATACATAGATTGATTTAAACAAAACATTCGTTTTTGATTGTGGCTTTATTCTATGTGGTCCTTTATGCACGTTCTGCGGATGGATTTATTGTGTGTTTATCTGTTGAACGGACAAAGAACAAGGGATTGTCATGCATGTTGTTTTTTTCATTTTTTTTACAACAAAAAAAAGATTACATAAAAATGAAATGACTCGAGAAGATGTGCTTTTGAGCACATAAAAAGCTTGCTGAATTAAACTTTTGAATAATATTGCTTTCGAGAAGCTTCGGTCATTCTCAAAAACACCAATTCTCGGGCCAAAACAAATTAAAAGAAAAAGAACTGAAAATAATTCACAGAAATCAAATATAATAATGACACATTTGGTAAATTGTGAGGCAGTTCATAAACAATTTCTTCGATTTTTTTTTTATTACATTTTTATTTTTGTAGTAAGAATGAAAAATATATATATATTGCGGAACATGGCCGCAATTTGGCAACTGTTTGTATTATAATCATTTCGTTTGGAATGAAAGACGAAATTAATTTAATTTTCAATAGTTTTTAATACGAGCGCTCATCATACAGCCATTATCATCAACAATAATAATAATAACAAAACGATGATTTGTAGTTGATTGATTGGACTCTTGCCGTTTGTTCGTTTCATTTCTCATTTTTTTTACACAAGATTTCTTTTTATTTCTCTTTTACTTTTACTATGAACATTTTGTCTTCATTAGGAGCCTTTCCAATTACTTTTTAATTAGTTTTTAGGAGTGCATATAATGTAGTTTGTTTTTGGCGCAGTTTATACAATTATTATTTGCTTGTCATTCGAAATTTTGCACAAAAGAAACTGAAATAAAAATAAAATTCCATGGTCGCACTGTTAACTCTAGCCGTGTGTCAAATAAAAAAACAATCTAAACAATCATAAAAGAGGTGATTGATGCCGTTAATAGCGCAAAAAATAGAATTGAACAAGAGATAGCAAAAATGAATATCAAGTGTTGTTGTGCATTTTTGTAGTATGTTCTTTTTTTGTAAAAAATGAAAATGAAATGAAGGCTAATCTGAGAGCTGTTGGTCAGCAATGAAAAATGAGCAATGAGCCGAGCAATTTTGAGCATATATAATTAGTAAGTACTAACTGTGTGGTTTGTCTATCATATTATTACTCATTAGGTGATTTTTGTTCGACATTTCTGCTGTGATTTCACATGTGAAAATCGGTGCTTTGAATGTGTGCATGTGTGTTTGTGTTTTTTTTTTTTGTGGTTGATTTGGAATGCTCAGCTAACAGTGTATGAGAATGTATTTAAATTATTCAGTTTATGAAGAAAAAAAAACATATAATGTTATTCAATCAAATTCCAACCAAATGATGTGGATATTCTTCTGCATATTTAGTCAAACAAATGGAACAAAAAAAAAATATTTTTACATGCTTTTCTATGGAAATTATAGCACGCATTTGTTTTTTTCTTTGCTTATATTTATTTTATGATCAATATTTAATGGCATGGAAAAAAATTGAAAATTAAATTATACTTCGTTCAGTTTATAGAGTTCAGTTGTCGGTTTATCAAATTTGTCATTTATGAAATGCCTGCAATACAATTTCATTTATATTCAATGAATTTAAATCGACACTCTTTAACATTTCATTTCGAGAGATGTTTGTTTTTTTTCTTCTATTTTATGTTGTTTTTATCTAAATTTCTTTAAAAAAAATGTTCGCTACTCATTATACCTAAGGAAATGTGTGTGTATACTGTATATGTCAAATCTAGAATGTGCAAAAAATGTGTCGTTTGACCCTACTGAAACTATTTATAATTGATATACTGTTTATTAGTAATTCAAAACAATTACATTATACCACAAGAACAACAACAACAATCGAATATTTTGATTTAAAAAAAAAGTTTATTACAATAAGTCAAATGCAAAAAACCAACACGAACAAAAAAGAAAAATGATCAAAAAAAATATTGGAAATCAATTGAATGGTTAAACTATATAGTAGGTATAAATTTAAAACAAAAGAAGATGGGATAGAGTATAGTTGTGAAGTTTCAGATAGAAGAGATAAGGAAAGGCCCCCAAAAAAGATAGATGTTATCAAGACTATGTGTGTATGCTCACGACTACATTTTAAATTATGAATCATGCGAAAGAATTTATGATAGATAGCAATTTCGAAAACTTTTTCACAAATTTCGTTACCATTTCCAATTCAATATACGTACTTCTGCTTTATTATGATTATTTTTGACGAAATTTTGTGAAATTTTACGAAGCTATCTAGGACAGAAAAATGATGCCCTTTGTAATTAGATTCTTTCGGACGAATCGATAAAAAAGTGTATGTGTGTGTGAGAGAGAGAGACACGAGTCTTTATTCGATTTACAACACTTTTCATTCTCGCCGTTTTATGTGAAATAATGATAAACACATTGTTTCGTTTTGGTGAAAAAATGGCAATGGAACATTTTCTACATCATTTTTTTATTTTTTGTGTATGTGTGTCTTTGATTTCAGTAACAATGATCAATGATCTACGTATTTTTATGTAAATAAATAATTAAAATTTAAGTACTCACTGGTTCTGAAGATGGGCACCAGAGTCCATTGACAAGCAACCGGCACCACCGCCGAAACCATAGCCTTTTGGACCTGTACGAAATTTGAATGAATCTTAAGCTTTCTTTTTTGTTCTAATAAAGTTTAAAGCAAACAAAAAAAAATGTAACTCCAATTTAAATTACCGTATTTACGACCATGGCAGTTTTTGCAGAACAATTCCTTTTCATGTTCTGTGCAGTTTGTTGAGTCCAACATTTTGTTGCACATTCCTGTCGATAAACACAATATTTAAATTTGAAACCGATCATTTGATAGGCGATTCGATTTTGGTGAAATAAATGACACATCATCCTATATCCATATCCTAACAAAATACTTACCGCATTTGAAGCATGATTTGTGGAATTTATATCCGCCTGTTGACAAAACAAATACATTTTTTGATTGCTTTCGATATCGAAATAAAAGATGAGAAATCGATGGTTGAAAAATACATACCTGCAACACGTTCTTCGGCTGCGTATACGGATTTACCGCATTTTGGGCATTTTGGGTTATCAGCTGGGACGAAAGGCATCTTTTAAGATTTATAGGCTGCAATTTAAATACAAACATCAGTATTATTTATTTTATCAAAGAATTGCAATTTAGAAAAGTCTTTTTTTGCTACATGATAATGTGATCACGCTTTATTTGCATCTCTTTGCAGATTAATTTGGTGTAATTCATTTTTTTATTGGAAATTCCAACAAAAACAGCGGTGATTACGAAACATATGGTCGATTAAAAATATCACCTAATCAAAAATACCGAAAAGTGGTGAAATGTTTTCTCTCAATTTGGCGTCTTTATTTATGAAAATTATGTTATTAGTGCGATGTTTTACATTTGAATCGGCAAGCTGTGAACTTATTTATAGAATATTTTCCACGGTGCGATGCATAAAACACGACGAGTGGAGAAAGAAGAAAAAATCGAATAAAAGAAGTAGAAAAAGAAGAAGAAGAAAAACCAGCACCATAAGCTATTTTTAATCGTGCTGTCGGAAAATTCGAAAAAAAATTCGTGAAAATGTGTGAAATTGGATCGTTAAGAATTAGCATCTAGTGTGGAAGAAACATATAAAATAGAAAAGAGACGAAAACAAATATGAACATCGATAATATACTAAGAATGCGTGGGTTGTGTAAGCGTGTGTTGAAAGCGAGAGCTCATGCGACCAGAAACAGTAAAACCGCAAAAACGTGATCATTCAAAAACAAACGTGCAGACGTATGCACGTTTTCGTTGGTTTGACCGATTGCGTTCAGGTCATATTTTGTTGGTTTTACTGTACAGCTATTTGTGATAGATTCTTATGTGTGCGCATTACACTTGCTATTCGCTACGTGAAAACAGTTTTGTATATAGAATTGAGTAAAATGTATTTTCATTTTGAATTGATTTCGAAATGGCTGTCGTCAACAAGCAAATATGAGTCAAACGGAAAGTCATTGGTATTTTATAATTTTCCGCTGGCCAACTTATGTTTGTGATATCATGTGCCACACATTTTGGATTGTGGCTATTTTAAAATCGACCATTCCGCTCCGACTGACCGTATTTGGATGTTTGAGCTCCCGGTTAATTGAAAATTCGACTTCAATCTTGATCAAACTAACCCATTTTCAAGGCTCCGTGGAAACGGGAATTATAAAATGCATGAGTTAATTAATGAATCGTAATGCCGATGACTTTGAAATTGCAATCGATTTGATCTTGAGCAACTCTATTTAGTTTACCACTTTCGATTTTTGCTGTTTTTTTATACGTGTTATTTTTGAGCCCGGATTTGAATGGACTGTTTTTTTTCTCTCTCTATCTGTTTCGCGTAATCGAGAGTACAAATGTATTGTTGGCGCAAAGTATGACTTCGATTATGTAATGTATTTATTTTTTTGGGCCCATTAACAAGTCGCCTGACTCTTTGCGATTTTAAGAAAACGATTCTTTGTACGAGAGAGAGATGGGCTTTATACAAACGATCGCCCATTCTATTTTTGGATGCCGAGTAAAACCTTCACCGGAACGCATACAAAGTTGTATGTGTGTGTGTTTTTTTTATCGTAGTTGCAGTGCAGGCGACCAGCATCAGTTGAAAATCGACAACATCTCGAAACACCGAGAATCGCTATTTATTTTTCATATTACATAAATATACGGCGAGTAAGTTGATTTTTGCGGCTTTGAAATGAGTCGCAACAAATAAATGGGACGTTTCTTTTTTAAAGATAGAAATTGCAACATTCTCGCCTTTATACTAAAAAAAAAAACTGGGCCGACGAATTTGTATGTGATTTATTTCCACAATTTCGGGTGATGTTACATTTGTAAAATGAAAACTTAAAGCGGCTTTTCCGTGATTATTGACATTGTTGTGATGTCGTATAATTAACGCAAATTATTGCAAAAGTTGCACAAATCAAAAATGTGCTATGCAGATGTTCGAATTTGGACACACTGATTTCCAGACGTTTTCAGACCTTTGCATTTAATCCATGTCCAGTTGAAAATATTTATCATGAATTACGTAAGAAAATTTACTTCTTTATTTATTTGGCGAATTGATATGATGCGTAATAATTCAAAAACAAAAAACAACAAATTTCTGTGCAATAAATTGTGTGCGCACAAACGAGGACTAAAAGTTGCAACTGGCCAACTTGAAAATAAATATATGTGACAATTTTTCGATTGAAACAACACACTTTCACTTTCTTCCTATTTTAATATACTGAGACAAACATGTCATAACTGAAAATCGATTGAATCGGTTACAATCTAAAGCACTCTCACAAAATTACACCGTTTAATCGTTTGGATGTCGAAAAACATTGGAACTATAAGAATTCCACTGAGAAGCGATCACACGATTATTTGATAGCACCAAAACTAGAACTTTTGAATCGATCACCATTATTATATAAATTTTGGAAACGAAAATTTTCCAATAAAAAATCAAAAAAAGAACGCGAAAAATTATTTTGCAAATTTTATGGATAAATTAAATTTGTGTTTTTTTCTGTTCAGTTAAAAGACTCGTACCTGATCGAAATCAAAAAAATTTCAAAGAATAAATTCCAGATAGAATTAAGACTGCGTGTAAGAACTTGATGTGTTCTCTTGACTACCACAGCGTTCGAATTGATTTGGAGGATATCGTTGCAGATGGTAGTCTATATGTAAGGATCAGTTGAACGTGTTCGGGATTTCCATTCGATCGATTCGGTGCAGTTCGGCTCCCAAAACACTTAACAACGTACGCATGAAAAAGACCACCATATCCAACAATCAAATCGATTTTCCCATTCATTTCCACGGTGCATTTTCACTTGGCGGACAGAGAAGACGAAACGATCGAGACGACATGTGATCGATATAGTTCTGTCTCGTTTTCGTTTTATTTTAGTTTTTTTTTATTATTGTTCGAAACACAAACGCCGCTACGATTTTGTCTATTTGCGCAACACTAGTGATGTCAAGCAAACATTTTGGCGATGTGTAACAGAAACAGAAACAAAAACAACATTTGTATTTTGACGCTATGTGTTTTTAGTTTTACGACGACCACTTTTGTGAATTTTGTCGGTGTTGATTGTTTTAGCTGTCGTATATGTCGAACATATGTGTGTATAAAGAGTTTCTTTTTCTCTGTTTTTTTTTTTCTCAAATGATTTTCATTTCATTTACTACATTTACATTGGCATAACCACCATACAATGTAGAGAGAGAGAGAACGTCTTTCATTCGTACAGTGTTTCGTCTAAATCGCACTGGCACACATAATACACACCAAATTAAATGGCGACTTACCAATTTTAACAGTATATTTGGTAATCGAGGAGAGACGAACTCGGGAAGATAACGAAGCGCATTTTTCAAGAATGATGTAAACAGGTAATATTTGAGTTGAATGTTGATCGGTATCGAATGTTCTATACAAGCATCTATAGACCATATAGATTCTTCGTCACAAACAACAAATTATGGAGGCCAATGAGACGAATGTTTCTCTCTCTCTGAGTTATGAGTAATCGTGAGTAATATTTAAATTTATTCTGCCAACGTCATCTAATGCTCGTTGAAGTTATATTTTTGCACTGTTGTCATGGTGTTTCAGTGAGCATATCCAAAATTGACGGTTCTCTCTCATCAATTTGCTCAGTTGTCAACTGGTGCATAGTATTTTGCTCTCATTTTTCTTTAACATATATTTCAACATGTACATTTATCGAAACGATTTGCCGCACCATATAAAGACGTCAAAAACGACACTCAATCAATTCGCAACTTTTTGAATATTATCATCATTCGAATGCAGTTTTCCAAATAAAAATTAATTAAGTGTATTACAAATCAATCAAAATTAATCGATCTTGAATAAAAATATATCATGTTTTAATTTAAATTAGGTGATAATTTGACTATTCATACGTAAAAAACATAAAACGAAACGATCATTGGTCAAAAGATGTCCAGAAGTCAAATAATCATATCATTTCATTGTTGCTTTCCTCTGGTGAGCTTTTTTCCCTATGTTTTACAGTCACGCGCGTATGTATGCGCTCGAATGATCGATGTGCAACAAAATAAGTACGGAAATGTTTGAGATGTAGTTTATTTAGCCGGACAATATATGGGTCCATTTCACGTTGGGTGTTCGCTGCCATTCTGAATGACGATTATTTATTTTCTATCATCCGTAATTTGTCATTTTGTTTGAGTGCGACAACTGGCGTGCACCATTGGTTAAATTGCATTGAAAATGATTTTCATTCCACATCGATTAGTGCAAAAATTTATGGCGAAGGATATTTATAAAATTAAATTGTAATACTTAATGCAATCGTGCTACGTGCCTTCAATCAAACGAAATTTTAAATTAAGCATTATGATAGTTTCGGTGATGCATGCCCCATGAATTCGATTATTTCAGTTTATGAGTGCAGCTGTAGCGTTCGTTTGTCAAAAAAATAAGACAGTGTTCGAGCGGGAGAGGGTGAGTATATTTGCTTCGACCGCATAATGTATTTGATGCAATTTATGAAAAAATATTTTGACAGAAACGGACCAAGCCAATTGCATCGATCAAGATAGACAGAAGTGCGAGAAGCCTACGGTAGTAGCACCGTTGAAATGTTTAAATGTTTGTCTAATTTATCGTAAGCTATTCCTCCTCAATGCTCTAAATCTTTTTATTTTTCTGGTTGATGCAAAAATGTTTGGATCACATTCGTGTTGTAAAGCACATGTTTTGTTTCCCTTTTTTTCACCATCATCGAACTATATGGTCGCCGGTGTGTTTATGTCATTTTATTTTGATTTTCGCTGTTTCTGAACAATTTTATGATTAGACACATCTTTTTTTCCTCTATTTTTGTTTATTCATTGCGCAATTTTTCGATGTGCTTTTATTTTTGTATTTCAAGGAATCATTTTTATATGAAGCATCAAACCGAGTTTGAGCCGCTTTCCGTAATAAATGTTTTGAGCATAAAATCGATTTTGATTGGTCGCTACAGTTGTTTCATTGCTGCTGATGCTGATCAACGGTCATTTGCTGTGACTCGGTCACATTTATCACCCACTTAGCCCAGCAATCGGCCAAATTACATTCACCGATAAAGTATAAGTCATGATGCCCGAATATCTAACGCACACATTAAGGGCAAAATGAAGTCCAATTTTTCTATGTACGACAGAAATAAATAATTATGCGGCCAACATTTTGTGATGAGATACAGAAGGTAAAATGAGTGTAAGTAAAACCACAATAACAACAAAAAAAAAAGCACGAGAGCGAAAACGCGATAAATATTACGTTTAAAAATAGGAAAAATGTTTCTGAAAATTGTGTGATGTGCTCGCATGAAAGAAATAGTTTTCTATTTTTAAATTATGAATTAATAAGATGCTGTACGCTTTTTCACTTTCTGCTCAACGACCTATTGCCGTAGTTTCGATCTATTGGATATGTTTGTGTGCGTGCATGTATTTACATATTCAAAACTCTTGATGATCAGAAAAAACCAAAATTGAAGGAAGTTATTCGAAAAGTTCTCAAATATGAGAAGAACAACCCAAAATGAGACGGCAACAACAACAAAAAAACAATACTTTCTCATTTACAAAATAAAATACACACTCGAATAAATGAAGGCGATGAGTAATTAAAGTGAAAACGGTTGCAACGATAATGAGCGAGCAAAAAGTAAATGTGTTGAAGTGACGGAAAGCAAGCCATTTTTACGGTATTACAGTGAATTAATGAGCAATGAATCATATTTAGATAATATTGGCATGATGCGACTCAATGTTCAATGTTTTGTTATTCAACTTTTCGTTTTCGGTCATCATTCAATCGGTTTTTTTTTTTGTTGTTATTTTTAGTGTGGTCAGTCATCGGTTGATCAACAAACACACTTTTTAATTTATCATTAAACCACTTCAACGGTTTGTTTAAGCCCACCGAATAAAAAACACCGAACTACGTGCATTCATACACGTTAGAACGAATGCACAACATATCGTCAGGTCGTTGCTTTGCTCAATCAGCGACTTGTTTGATAAATCGATTTTCAACATTTGCGACACATTCCTATTCGATTAGTAAATGAATGTAGATACGAACATTGTTATTTTCTTAATTTCATATTTCATATGATGATAATTTTAAATATGATCTATATTGGGATCGAGTGGGCGTTCAAACCAGCTACAAATTTCACTCTGTATGTTGGCTGTTGTTGATCAAATACGAGCGAATACAACAACATTACATTTCAATTTGTACACAGTTGTCTCTGTCTGACGCTCGCTCATACAATCCATTCAATAAGCTCAATTTTATCTTTCCTTTCATCTTTCATCCGGCTACCTCGTTCACCGTATTCCTCGTCAGCCCAGTCAGGCGCGCGCGCGCTCGCTTCATTTTTCTTTTTGTTTCAACAAAAACATTTACATTGTAGCGCAATAAACAAATCGTTTTTGCTGTTTTTCATTTAGATTTTTATGTCAGCGATTAAAATTGATTTCGAAACAAATTTGCTGTAAACCAATGAAATTATCTGAATTCATCAATCAGTAATGGGCAATGAATGCAAAATATATCAATTCGTATGCGAAGGAAAAAAGATGAAGGATAGCAACATGAGCAATTTTTAATTAGAAATATGATTTTTATCGAAATTCAAAGGTTGGATTTATTTGATTTATTGCATTTCTAGTATTTTGACCAAACAGACCAGAAGACATTCTTTTAATATTTCAAAGTTTGATGGGAATAAGGACTTAAATATTTTATGGGCGATTTTTGAACAGAGAAGTCAACTGGAATTTAATTTTTGCATAAAAAACGATTATGGAACGGTTTCATAAATTATTTTCAGTAAAAACCAGTAAAATATGTTAATTTCGGTTTACTTCTCTACTATTGAATCCACCAAAGTAATAAAGTGCACAAATTTGAGCTTTTTGTTGTTTTATGTGTTTCGATTTTCAGGCGTAATTATGTTTAACTAGAAGCGATGCCATAAAGAAACCGTTCGACTGCGGTTCCGACTACCCTCCAGAATTTTAAAAAGCCTGAAATACTTTTTTCCTTTTTCAATTTTCAAATAAATCCTTTACGGTTTTGCAAACTACCTTCTACCGGTTTTCGTAAATTGCAAATCAACAATCTCTTCCCTTCCCAAAACTTGAACTAAAAAAATCATTATTAATGACCGCGGAAAATGTTTAACGACAAACATTTATCAATTATCACAGACATTCAAAGGAACCACAAGGTTTGTTCGTCACACTGCTGCTCATTCGATAGGTAAATGATTTTAATTCGACGCGAAGAACCATTGATTGTGTTAATCATGTTTTATAGACCCACAGACATTAAGAATTCATTCTTCCAACATCATTCTCATCGTATCTGATTACTTTTGCGCAATTTATTATCTTAACAAAAACTCAAATACTTCGAATAAGTGAAACGGAATAGAATATCTTCTTCAACGAAAAAAAGAACATATATCTGTTTGTATATTTATAATTGCATAACAAACAAATGATGAAAACTCATACGTCGCATTTTGTCATATGTGATTTACTGTTTGCTATTAATTTGTTGTGAACTGGTGAAACTAACAAAATTTAAATTGTTCAACCACTTTAAAATGTGATATTT